GCTTAAAAGTGATGGTTTTTTTCCTGAAATAAAAATTTCTATTGAAAATGGTTGTCGAACGGTTCCTATTTTATTTGGGGGAGAATCCTTTCAAAAAAGTATGCTTAGCTTTTGTGTGCACTTAGTTTTCGGTATTTTCTTAAAACAGCAAAGCAGAAAGTCACGTTGACAGAATAGTCGCTCTCGACAGCGCTTGATCGGGGTACTGGAGTAGACGCAGTGAAAAGATCGGTTGAAGTAGTTCAAATCTGGGAATTCGGATCTAGTAATTACGCATTGCACAGGGCGCCCTCTTAGGTTCGTTGCTTGCGGAACCCATTCACCAAGTTTAAAAATCTGCCTCATCGAGTGAAGGTGACACTAGGTGCTAGTATGGAATTGTTCCATGGCGTCCATTGATCTCCATTAACCGGCGTAGGTATCACCTGTGCTCACTCTGATCATCGAGTTGCTAAACGGGCGCCACTAACGTCTCCATTTGTCGCAACGTGCTAGAGTTGCCCAATCGGTTCTCTGTGCTCGTGAGACACGATGAACTTCCTGCCATTCGTTCAGACTTTACCGAAGAAGTGTGACCATTGGCAGGGCGTCGTCCAGGCTGTTCGCTTGACATCCCGTGGAATCCAGTCGGTGATCGCTCTGGTCCAGCGGTCGTCCTTCGAAATACATGATGTACCCGACCCATCTGATGTTCAGAACCTTGGTATTGGTCTTCATGTCCATATCTGGCGTTGGTATTCATGAAAAAGCTGATTCAGTGAGTCCCAAATTAAATTCAGTAAGGCGCTGCCACGACGCTTGTCTTCGACAATGAAATCATTGAATGCTGTGGGTTAGTTTTGAACATTCCTACGAAGCTTCAAAGTAAGTTGATACGATTTGATACTCGGCATAAAATACTAGGCCCCTAATAATGGGAAAATTGCGAAAAAAACGGAGTGAAACTGTCAAAAAGCTGCGAAGAAAAGCCTTCCTTCTTGCTTTTATAGCGCCTTATAAGGCTCCTTGGAAAAGGCGCTACGCAGCGCCTGCTCAGGGTCGCGGAATTCCGTCCTGCCAGGCGTATTAATCCTACTCGTCTTAGGGATTTATCAAGCCAACTGCCTTTAAGGCCGTTATTGTTCGATAACTGCAGTTCAACGCCGCAATGCGCGATCCCAAAGTAAAACTTCCTGAAAAGCTTTGCTCCCAGCCGTACACCTTACAAAATGCTTCACTAGATTCAACTTTTTGATTGAACGCAATAGAAGATGATGTCGAAAATTTTTGGTGGTTTTCGCCGACGTGGCAACCTAAACCAATCACCGGAAAATAACAGAAAATGAACCATCAAGGAAGTCACTCACAACCACTCTTGAAATTAAGTCCTTTTTTTCAAATTCAGAAGAAAAAAAACATCACTCGTGGTCCACTTCGTTATTTATCATTTCATTTGTCTCCTGTGACTCTCCCTCTCTCTCTATTCCATATAAATTCCCGGTCGAGAATCAGGGACTTAGTTGAGAGCGAGAGCATATATGCTGATTGTGAACCGTTGTTATCTCTGTGCGCAACACCAGCTGACTGAGAATCAAACTTTGCCTCGCATAATTGTACGCACATGTGGCATCATAGGCTCGCAGTTGTGCGCAGCCTGCAGCTTCCCATCTGCATTTGCTGAACGTTTTTAAGTGCGGCATATGAAAGCTAATCTATTTCTATTTTAATTCATTCCTATAATTCTTGAGCGAGTGGAAATATATTTTTATTCCATTACGAAGGCAATGAGTATGATTGCTGGAGGCGGCCGTTCGTTGCCAGCGCGGTAGAGCTGCGAGAGGGCTTGGCCACATCCCGCCCTTCCACCAATGACGTTAGCGACAACCATTCGCCCTCATCAACTGTGCGCGCTGTCTTTAAGCCAGGATATGATCCCAACTGGTACTATGACTGAGGTGACTAATACGCATTAATTCGCGGACGACGGATAATTCTTTGTGTTCATGTGTTCGACGTTTTCGTTCGAAGACCTAAGCTTGTGAATACATCATGGGTATGTATGACTGATGCAACCAGATTTCATGAATTGATTTTTGCCACTTAGTTCGAATTTACATACAGAGAAAGCTTAGTAAAATATTATTTTACTAGAATCTGTGTTCATCGACATCTAACTCCAGTACTTCACTGCAGATTTCGAGAATATATTGACATGTTTTTTTATTGAAATACACCACAACGGTGCGTCCTAAGAAACATGAAAAATAACTAAACGGTTTTCCCCTCAACGCAATGAAGGACACATTATAAATCACAACATTATGGAACGTCTTCTAGAGATCTTGGCACAACATTGTCGTGCAGTCGGTCTGTAGTCAAGCTCACCCGTCGATCAGAAATGCTGAAAAACTGCCGTTGACAAGATTGCTGATGTTTGGAATCGTGGGAAAACACTGCGCCCATAGCGCGCACCATAATACTTCACTTCGCACCCAGTGACAAGGTTCATGGGGGACACAACGTAAAGGTTATAACATCGCAGTCGGCCAGAGGCGGTGTGACGTGGGCGGGATGAGCCCGCTCACGTCTGCCGTGCTCTACCAATGGTGTTCGGCTAGTGATTGATTTAGAAAGAAAACAGCCACTGGTTGCAAGCTCATAGGCGGGATCAGTCCATCCCTCTAGGAACACAGATTATCGCTGATACCAGCTGTATATATTCTGAGATGTTCGTTGATGAACAGGGGCAAACCATCTACCATTGCCGCAACCGTCAGGACAAGGCAAGCATTCGTCAACGACGTCAAGCCTTTCACAAGATTTGCTTCACTCCGAAGGAGATGTCGAATTCTCGGATTGAGCGCTTGTAGTTTTCTGTGGCTCCGATACTGAAAGACGCCAGGTATAGTGTAGTTCAGTGCGGACGGTGGGGCGTGTCGTTCTCCACCAGCTCTTAAAGCGAGCAAAAGACAAGACTGTATCATATCGTTCGTATTACTCGTTTTCTACCACTTTTTGTCGCATGCGCGCTTCAACAAGAAGGCAGAGAACGGCTTTGATGGCGTGACACAATACTACTACTACCTGACACGCCCCAACACCCGCAGTGAACCACAGTGTATTCAACTTTTCTTACACATTAGGACACTTGACTTATTTTTCATGAATTAAAGCGAGCTCGTCGGACGCCCGGGGATCCCACACTCGGTTCGATGGATTCTAGCAAGGTGAAATCTGTTGAAGTTAGATCTACATCCATTAAGCTCGTCACTCCGTGCGAAAAAAGTTGTAAGAGTACGCTTTATGTGTGATGTGTCCATCATTATTTTCCCATATACAACTTACCCTAAAATCAGAAGAGGAATCAGTAGCAGGACGGCACTTGTAATGTAGAGGAATCCAGGGAAAAAGTCCAACGTTTCTGGGTATAGATTATTGAAAATTGTACTAGCAAGAATTCCTGTAATGCCTTCCAACAAGGCGATCACCGAGAACATTCTACCTGAATTGTTAAGATTGACTCTGATGACATAAAAACCTAAACGAATTTACGATGAACTTACCTTGTTCACTGGTTTCGATGATGCTGGAAATGAAAGACCGGAATCCAGTTGAGACGAAACGGTTCAGAGAGGTGAAAACTATGGGAAGTATCATAATGGATTGGATGGAATCGAAAGATGTATACTTACCAATTACTGAATAAGCCATTCCTGTATTTGCTACAAAGGCAAGCATGATCAATGATATAATCTTTGCAAATAAGCCAAGGCATCCCAGAATACCGTCAGTAAATCCTCGAATATATAGCAGCGGATAGACGACCATTACCTATGGAACAAATCAATAGCCTATGATTAATGGGTAAGAAACAACTACATTTCGGAGTAAACTTTTCGCGGCTAAAAAAGTAAAGTAAAAATTAAAGCAGCACAACTGAGGCGCACTAATGCGCGCATTACATGGTGAACCTTATAGAACCGCCAATCCCTGACATGATATCTGTAAGAAGTTGTTGAGATACTACCAATCAGGGCACGCCATCGTAGCGCAGGACACAACGGGGGTGGGTGGGTCGTATTTGACCAGCGAAGTAGATGGGGACGTCGTAAGTGCAGGGCTCATTCAGAAAAGGGAAGAGTAGCGATACTTAAATATTGTACAGCCACTGGATAAATAGTTAGTCTTTCACGGTTCTTCTTGTGAAGTTCACCTGAAGAGACACCTGAAGATAGAGGCAAGCTGCGAGCAAAGAAGTGGGGAACGAGCGGTGAAAGGTAAATATGATGGCCCCACAATGAACTCATGAACTAATAAACAAATATAAGTACACAGTCGGACCTTCCTGTACCGTGGCGAGTACTTCTGCTGCACGAAGAAACCCCATGAAGAACTACACTTCTGTGTGGGAGCAGTGTGCATGGCGCACTGCAGAGGTGATGCCAATCAACGTCGAATGGACGTCGAGTGGACGGCTTCCTGACAGCTCCGACGAAAAGATGTGTTCTCGAAGCGTACTGTAGTCTCAAACGAAGTGGAGATGGCGGCGGAGGGGTGAGCTTTCTTGTGTTGCCCGAATTCGTTCCCAATAAAACCCTAACGAGGAGTTGTCCCAAGTAGCGGGCCTTGGAAAAACGATCCTTTGAGAAGTGGGATACTTTTAGATTCAAGGAAGTTTTCTTTTTATTTCTACAAGAGGTCACATATGAGAGGAGTTACGGCCGTTTACAGCACGAAGACTCGCAGGTGACATTGAAACTCAACAACGGTTCCACCGGAGACATGCCTTGAAAAGAAGTTGAATGCGCTCAGGCACAGTCACCCTTCGAGAAGCCGCAGTCTCGTCAGAAAGCGTGCTCTAGCGCCAACCTCCAATGTGCGTGAACTCTCAAAATTCAAGTAGTCGATATGATATCTTTCTTTTTTGCCTCTTTGTGGGGGGTGGGTGGGTCGTATTCATCAGAAATTTTACACAACGCCTGCCCTGTTAAGAGTCACTCGCGATTTCCTCTCATTAGTGACCACTTTGCCCCTATACCATTTTTTGCAACCAGCGTCCCACTGTCACTGTGACTCGGGTTACAAGATAAGCGACGCTCCTTTGCTCACGCCCTTGCCAACAGTTATTAGCTACAATCATTCCCTGTCACCCACCGATGATGTTCCTGTTCCGTCACCTATACCCCATCTTGGAACCGACTTGTGACCCGCGTCACGAATTAGGTAACGCTACTCTTCTAACGGCTCATACGGAATCCTATCGGCTGTTATCACTTCCTGCTGCCCAGATTTCGTTCCCGTCCAGTCTCCTATATCTTTTTCGGAACCAGCGTCCCACTGTTACTGCGACGCGGCCCTTTCTAGCGTCTTTATCAGACATTAACACTTCCTGTCACCTATGGGTTCCAATCACGCTGCCTTTACCAGTGGTCAATTCATCTTTGCTGCTGTCCATAAGTCAAAGGAGACACAAGATTTGCGAGGAAGCCTCACTTCCATGAAGTTGTCCCAACAATCATGGAGGGGTAGGGCTGAACTTGTCAAAAGATAAGGAAGAAGGTTATTTGGAAACAAGCCCTGTAACTGCTTCGAACGTTCTTCCTTAACAAAACTGTTGTCTCACGTTCTAGCGTTTTATACAATCGCCATACAGTAACCAAATCGAACAAGTAAAACTTACAGTAGCAGTTGTTACAGCATACTGTAGCCCGCTGAACCATCCGTACTCCTTATCTCCCCATCCCAATTTGAATCGAAGATAGGAGTACTGTATGTCCATCAGCCCTACAAAGCTCAGATGATACTCGAACTCCGACTTGGCTGAGTAGCTTACCAGCGAATATAAGAAGTTCTACTCCAAAAGCCAATAAATTCAGTCCCAGAAGAAGTCGATATCGACGGTCGGCTGTGAGGACTCTTCGGTACTCGTTCAGTGCTTGAATAGACTTCAGGACTACTCTCAGTAACAAACCTGAAAACTTATAAGTGTGGAGACTCTTTCAGTATATGCTACATCCGTTAACTATTTACCATGCTAACTAAGAAATTAAAAGTATACCCCCACTGCTCGATTGAAGGTCATCTTCGGGAATAGTTGAATCCTCTGCGCATATCAGAATATAGAAGAAAGCGATCGTTTGTAAAACTAGCATCAACAAAAAAGTGTATGAATACCCAAGTGATCTGAAAAACTGAACGGATTTCATGATTACGTTCAGGTCGCAAGAACAGATCGCAGCCCATACTTGGTTGCAGCTTCCCCATCTAGTGGGATCTTGCAGACTTTCACTCATGCTCTAATTCTAGGTTGTCTGGCCTTATTCAAGCTTGCCTTTCTACTATATTAGGTTGGCCACTAATTTCTGAGACACTTTGAAGGCTGACCTTTTGGACTTTAGTTGAGTGTTAGCCCAACACCACGTTACTAATCTATTACTAATCTACTATATGAATCGATTACCAATCTATGAAAAGAAGTTCGCTACTGTCGTCTTGTGGATGCCTGCTGTCGGCCACGTTCTCGCTCTACCTCACCCTTGCTCCTCACCTTATGTGGCAGCTGTAGTTGGGTTAGGAGGGAGTCCTAACGTCTTGACAGGTGTCAAAGAACATATCATA